CGATGCCCCCACACCTGCGTAACTCATGGACCCGTCAGTATAGAGAAGTCAGAATCACCTAGCCTATCTTGCAGTTTGAGAAATGCATACATGCATATATGTATATATTTATACACACATATGGCAAAGTGGTTTTAAGAAATTTTGAAAGGGAGGGATTGAGTTTTGGTGTGAAAAGTCCCGAAGGATAAATTAGTGAAATACCATTTTCTAGAAAAGTGGGTGGCTTAATGTTTAGGTTGGGTAAACAGTGACACTTGAATTGTATAAGGTGGAGAAGTAAATTAGGTCAAGTTGTATCCGTATGTTATGCGGAGGCTCGCCAGCTTCAACATATAAGCTATTAGTAGGGCTGAGATGGAAAGCACCAGAAGCTATTTTGAGGACGGAGTTTTGTACAGGATCAAGCCTTTTCGAAGCCGAATTATACTTATTACAACATAGTCTCATTTTGATCTTATTAGCGTTCTGTGCAAGTTAACTTACTTTTTCGATTAGCACCCCAACTAGTGTTACTGACCACTAAAGGTTTTTCTGGCGTAGGGTTAATTTTAAATTCTAATTGTATAGGTTTTCTATCATATTTTACTTTTAGACAAATAGGACACTTATTTATATAATCTGTTATATCTCTTAGCATAGATGGCCAATAATAACGTTTCCTAATATGTAAATAACTTTCATTTATTCCGCGGTGATAGGTTTTTCCAACGTGATAATTAGTTATAATTTCTTTTTGTTCTTCAGTTGTAAGTATGTCCAAATTTAAATCTTTATATCGCTTTAATTTAATAGTAGGGAAATTATTAGTAATAACATTTTTGAAATTATCAAATATTAAATTGTATTCTTTATTAAGTGATCCTTCTCGATTACAATAAATACCATAAATTGTTTTAGGTTTTAGGTATTGAATACATAAAGTTTTCATTTTTTGAATGTGTGAAGAATTTGGTATATAGAATGTTAGTCTAGTTTTATTAAATAATTTTTGTATATGAGGCGATTTATTTCCGCGCTCTAAAATAATTTGGTTTTGTTCTATATTTATTATTTTATAGTCGTCAGCTATTGTTATTTGTTCATTAGAACTGTCTTGTGAATGTATAGTCATTATCATTAATTTCTTCGTTTGATTGAGGAGGATATTGTTCCAAAAATTCGTTTAGTACATCATCCGGATTTATTTCATCGTCTATTGCATGTACGGGCTGAATACGCGATAGGGTATCCGCTACATTATTTGTTTTTCCTTTTCGTATTTAATTTCGAAATTAAAATCTGCTAATAAACATTTCCATCTTCATAATTTTGAATTGGGTTCTTTAATATTTTGTAGCCATTGTAGTGGTTTATGGTCTGTTTGAATTATAAATTTATTGCCATATAAGTAAGGTCGAAAGTGTTTGCATGCCCAAACAATTGCAAGCAATTCCTTTTCAATAGTTGATAGATTTTCTTCATGTTTATTTAATGTTCTTGAAGCGTATGCTATTGGTAAATCTTTATTATTAAAATTTTGTGATAGCCGCACCGAGAGCGAAGTTAGAAACGTCAGTTGTTAGAATAAATTGTTTGTCAAAATCTGGTAATTGAAGTATTGGTTCATTTAATAAAAGCGTTTTCAGTGTTTCAAATGCAGTAATAAATTCTTTATTTTTAATATCAATTTTAATATCTTTTCTTAATCCATTGGTTAATGGTTTAGCAATTTTAGCATAGTTTTTTATCATTTTACGATAGTAACCTGTAAGTCCTAAAAATTGTTTGATTTCTTTTTGCGTCTTTGGAATAGGGAAATTTTTTATTACCTCAATTTTTAATGGATTAGGCCTTATACCTTTTTCTGAAATAACATGTCCTAAATATAATAGTTCCTTTTTGAAGAATTCAGTCTTGTCAAGTTGAATTTTAAGATTATGTTCTTTAAGTTTTTCGAATACTGTTCGTTGAAATGTTTTAGGTGTTCCTCTAAGTTATCTGAAAAAATTATTATATCATCCATGTAAACTAAAACATTAGGCATTTTAGCAAAAATCAAATTCATGGCTCTTTGAAATGTTGGTGGTGCATTTTTTAACCCGAAAGGCATTCGTAAGAATTCATAATGTCCATTTTCTGTCGAAAAGGCTGTTTTCGGTATGGAATCTTTTTCCATTTCAATTTGGTGAAATCCAGAAGCTAAATCAATTGTCGGAAAATAAGTTGCACGTCCGATTTTTCCAAAAAGGTCCTCAATATTGGGCAAAGGATATTTGTCTTCTATAGTTTTTCATTCAATTTACGATAATCAATAACAAGTCTTACTTTACGTTTACCGGAAGCATCAAGTTTTTTTGGAACTACCCATATTGGGTTATTATAAGGTGAATTTGATGGTTGAATAATTTTATTTTTAAGTAATTTGTCTACTTCTATTTCTACATCTTTTCTAAAAGCAATAGGGTATCTATAATTTTTTGTGTAAACAGGTATTTCGTCTTTGATATTAATTTTATGTTTTAAAATATTAGATGCACTTAGTTTATCATTTTCCTTTTTAATAATTTCCGGATATAGTTTAATTAAATTTGTAATTTTATGTTTTTCTTCATTATTCATATGTTCCGTTCTAATTAATTTATTTATGTTTTTAATTATTGGTTGTGTTTTTTTGGGACAACTGGTCACAAATTTATTTGGTTCAATAACTTCATCAATTTCGTCAACTTCCATCGGCTCGGGACAAATGGTCCATGAGAATATACGACGCATTGACATTTATTATCTTTAATATTAACGAGTCCTTCTTCAATTTTATATTTGTCAGTGTTAATTTCCTTAATTATTCCTATGTTTATATCTTTATTTTTAATAGGTAAATTGACAATATTATATCCTGGTTTAAGTTTAATTTCTTTATTATCTATATAACTTAGTATTTTTTTATTTCTATTTTTATATTCTAATAATTTATCTTTATAATTAACAATTGCACTTAACTCATCTAGGGTTTCATGTCCTAAAAGTATATCATATTTCTCTGAAAACTTATAAATGTATATTTTTATTTTCTTATTTTCATCGAAAATATTTTCTATATCAAAATATATATATTCTGTACCTTTTTCTTCTCCAGCAGGAGTTTTAACAATAAAATCTTCTTTATATCTAGTGATTTCTGGGGAAACTACTGAGGGATGTATATAATTTTTAAGTGAACCGGTGTCAATTAGCCATTTTCTTTTTTTGTGATCAATAAAATGGGGTAATGATTTGTTTATAATATTTAATTCGAATTCGGGGGGTCTTCGTTTGGTGTTGTTTCTGGTTCTAAAAAATGTTCTGTCAGTTTGTTAAAGTTTTCTCTCAAATTACTCATTTCTTGTTCAAGTTTGTCAAATCGCGAGTCTTTTGTTTCTTCTGTTTGTGGTTGACCTTGTACATGAGTTAGTTCGTAAGGTGATATCATATGTTTAGTTGAAATCGGTTGATTAGAGCGTTGTGTTCTCATGGAAACAGTATTAGGATATTGTCTGTGGTTATTGTTTTGATTATTAAATGAATGATGTTGTTGTGTATTGTTGTTAAAATAAGGTCTTTGAAAATGTTGAGGATTTTGTTTTGGCATAAATGGTTGATTAAAGTTTTGAAATTTATGATTCTGAAATTGTTGATTTTGAAAAGGTTTGGTTTGAAAAACGTTGTTTGGTTGATAATTATTTTTTGGTGGGAAATGTTGTGGTCTTGGTTCAAAATTTGGTATTTTGAATGGATGAGTGTGTTGTTGTTGTTTTCTGAAATCAATGTTGTTTATTGTATCCAGTGATATGTTAAATTTTAATTGATTGAGGATAATGCTACAGTCATTTATAAGTTTGTTTCTAGCATCATCTAAGTCTTGTATTTGGAATAGTTGTAAGTGTGAGCCTAATAATGGGTGAACTCCGTGCACAAAAGTCCTCACTAAAGTTGCGTTTAATTGGTGAGTCATGTTTGTTAGTATTTCGCCTGTCATACCATCTAATTTATATCTGGTAATAATTGTAGTGCGTTTTTCATCAAGTTTATTTAAAAATTCAATAGGATGTTCTTTAAAATTTGATTTCATGAGAGCTAATTCTGCTATTAAGTCTGGAATTGTTCTATTATCTGCAAAATTTCTTTTTAGGGCGTTTAACAAATCTACTATGTTATTACAATTATTATTAAAAGCTACTGCTTCTGCAGGGCCTTGCAAATGGCAAATTGCAGCGTTAAATAAAAGCCAGTGATTAGTTTCTTTCTCTCTAACTGTTTCATTGCAATATAGTCTGTAAATATCTTCACAAATTTTGATAAAATGTGTCAATTTAAAGGAAGTACCTTCATATTTAGGAATAAATTTAAGGATATCAGGGGTTAGTATTTTCGAAATTTCAGGCATTTTTTATAATAATGAAATGAAATTATGTGCTTAAAATATAATTAATTAGTCCAATCCTTTGATATAATGAGTACTTACAGTACAATTAGTTGAGCTTCTGTTTCCGAAGATCTGGAGTCGTGAAGACCAAAGAGCTTATCGGAGCTTGTTCGAAGTGCGATGAAGAGTTGAAAACTCAAGTTCGAGCGGGAAATTGATCACGCTGTAGATTACTTTCGGTCAATCGGACAGAATAGCAGTAATTGAACTTCCGCAGTCCGTGTTTCTGGGCGCCAGTTAAATGAAGGGTGCTCAGATAAGACTTTTTTAAAAAGAATTTTTATTGAAGCAAAACTACAATCAAAAGACCGACTAGCATAGGGTCAAGCTACATACAGAAAATGCATCATACGTCTATTGTTCAATGGGTTTATATATTGTATATCTGCTGATGTCTGCCGTTTGTCTGGTGCGTCATATATGCGTTGCCATTACTATTGATAAGTTTATTGATATTGTTTAGTTTGATGAAGTAAATGTTGGATTCATGAAAAAGAGAATTGGCGATAAAAAATTACCTCTTTGGAATCTTATTTAAACCTTCTTCGGATTATTATTGTGAATGTAGAGTTGAAAAAAAAAAACAACTGATTACTAGCCAGTTTTAACATTTGTGTAAAATGATAAATATAAGGGCTTGTTTTTCAAGAAATAGTGTTTTTAGGAAATTGCAGTTATTTGACTCACATGCTCCTATTTCCTGTAGTTTATTTTCTGATTATCGACCTTACCACCGAGAAATTAGTGAGAAAGTTGAAGATCGTTTTAGAAAAGAAGACTCTGTTGATAAAGATTACTATGTGGTTTACCGCGCTCCATATGTTAATTATTTAAGGTTTACTTATGCATTTACAAGCATTTCTACTTCAATAGTTGTTCCCATTGTTGGTTCAACATTAGTGACTGGTGGCATTGGAAATTATCCTGTTATGCTGGGTGATGTAACAATATTAAATGATTCAATTGAGTTCACTGCATTAATTGGTGTAATTATTTTAGTTATTGGACAGATAAGTTATGTTGTATTTAAGTTTCCATTCAGGATTTATCGTAATGCCTCTAATGGCAAATACCTCGCTATTTATCAGCACCTATTTCCTTGGAAAAGACACAAAGAAGAATTTTGTCCTGGGGAAGTTAAGAAGGTTGTTAAAGGTTATTCAATTTGGAAGGAGTGTTTGTATGAGATTAACAACAAAAAAACAATTTTATTACAGGACCATTTTTATTTACCTCAAGATTTTAATGATATGTTTCCCTCAAATGATCAAAAAGGTGAATAGTTTTATCAATACAGTTAATTAATGCAGTACATGATTTGTATTTGATTTATTATTATAATCCAGTTTATCAAGTAATTTTTTTTTATATACTGTAACGGGGCACTACTTGGACCCAAGGTCTATAAAATTACTAGGTTTATTGAGAAGAAATGTGGTGGAGAGGAATCGAGGTCTGGGGTAAGCACTAGATCTCTATTGTCCCTCTTGCTCTTGTTTCTGGACATTTAAGATTATTATTTAGCTTTTTAAAGAAATAAATATTCTAACATACAATAACTTAATATAAATAAATTTAAAAAGTGAGAGAAAAATTCATTTGCTATTTTGTTTACTCTCGAGCAATTATAGTAAAATTTAACCATTGATGTAATTTTTTTTTTCATAAATTCAAAATACCATTACATATTTTTTAAAACTACTTCATATAAATACAAATTAATAGAACCTTATTTTTTTTTTTTTTTTTTTTATAAAATTTTGAGATGGGTATGTAGCTGACTGTTGAAATTGTAAGGATGAAGAATGGTCAAGTTTGCTAAGCCTATTTTTTACAAATTTATATATAACTCCTGACCATTTTTAATCTCTATAAAAAACAAAGTTTTTAATCCAAAATTGAAAATGCTTCTTTCTACTAATTTTCGTCAATATGACATTTTTATATTGTGAGGAAACCTACTTAGTAATTTTTTTCACAATTTTTTTGTTGTTTCAATTGCTGTAATATTCTTCGGGCACTTAGAAATTCTATTATTAGAATTACAATTTTTTTTCGAAAACATCACTAACTCTTCAATTTCTACATTTCTTTAAATAAATATAAATGATAATTTTTAAGATGTCTATTATTAACTGTAAGTGAGTTAAAATAATGAATTTTAAAATAACATTAATATAAATTTATCTCTTTCCTGTTAAGGTTTAGCTTATAATTCTCATAACATTTTATTCTAGGTTGCAAATCTTATTTATTTAACTTATCAAGGACTGGAAAGTAATGTTGTTTTCTTAGATTAAATTCAAACATACATTTCACAGGAGTTTTTATTTTTAATCATTAATGGAAGCACTCGCAACCTTTTGCCATCTATTTTGCAAATTTTCAATACGGGATCGATTAAAATCGAATGGTTTTTGAGCAAAATATATAGAGATGGCGTTTTGGACATCATTCACAGAAAATGTTAAAAAGATCCCAACAAATGGAAAAAGTGATGGCTTAACATCAGGTGGTTATGGTGGATGAGGCTGTACTTTCCATGCCAATTCATTAATTTTTTGCAGAGTTTCCCTTATTCATTATGATCTTGCATTTTCGTGTTGAAAATCGCTGTTCACTTTTCAATTAGTTATTGCTTTACATGATCCAATTGTACACAATAAAGGTCAGCATTCACAGTTTGTCCAGGTTTCAGCCCTTCAAAATGTGCAACGCCGGGAATACTCCACCAAATACACAAAAGGGCCTTTTGGGGATGTAATCCTTGCTTAGCAGTAATTAGGAATTATTACATTACTTTTTGTCTATTTCAATTTCAAACCAATTTGTTTTGTTATTATTACATTTGTTTTCGTCTATTTAATATATATGTTGTAAAATAAAAGTATTTTTTATTATTACTTTTGTTTTTGTTTACAATTTCAATAATATGAATATAATACAATAAATATGAAAACGAAGATAGGAATTTTGCAAGGTCAATAAAACTACCAGGTTCGCTCACTCAGAAGGAAAATCGTGGAGAGGAATCGAACTCTGACGTAGACAATAGACTTATTTTACCCCTCCGGCCTTTGTTTCTGGACATTTTATGATTATTATTTACTTTTCTACATTAAATCAATACTGTATTGCCAAATAACTTATTAATTTTAATAAATTTGAAAGGTGAGAGAAAGGTTGATTTGATATTTGGTTTATTCTGAAGCAAATAAAATGTAATTTAACAAGTTGATGTATGATTGTTTGCAAAATAACACAATAATATTTTTTAAATATTTCAAATAAATACAGAGCATAATATAAAATAGTAGAAATTGAAAAAAAAAAAAAAAAAAAAAAAAAAAAAAAAAAGTATTTAATCTAAAATTAAAGAAGGGTTTTCTTTCCGCAAAGTATTGAAAATATTACATTTTTATGTCATTAGTAATCCTATATAGTGATTTTTTTCTCAAATTTTTTGCCTTTGATTTTATATTTTCTCAATTGTAAAAATCTTTGGGAATTTAAAAATTTTATTCTAATAAATATCCGTCGCTGAAAGAAAGCCTTTACCAGTTAATTTCTACATTTTGTTTCCTAAGAAAAAGATTAGTCAATTTTTTTACAATATTTTTTCATTTACATTTTAAAATCCAATGAAATGAAATTTTCTTTCCCATCTTCCAATCAACTCCAATTTCAACATTTTTGAATAATGTTATTTTAGTGATATTTTTAGTTGAAAAAGTTATCAATGCAGACAGTGAGTAAGTTGATTCCGGAGGTGGTGATTGCAGTGTTGAAAAATAGAACAGTGAATAAAGGTATAAATTTAGGTACTTATTTCTTATGAAAGAAACTTTATTAAATATCTGTAGAAAAAAGGTGTTTTTAGTCTCAACAATTAAAAAAGTATATTTTAAATTTATCTAAATCTTCGCCTCTTCGGGGATAAAATCAGTTTTTACGATATATTTTGAATTTTAATCTGAAAAGAAAAATATAAAATATCCTTTCAGATGACTTACTATTAGACATTAGCACATTTATACAACAAATAATAACATTAAAAAATTAATATTAACCAGTCAAAAATATGTATTGTATATAAAAAACTCTGCAAATTATTTCACAATGGTTTATTTATTTATTTTTTTTATAACAATTATACATGTAAAGTATCATTACCTTTCTAGTTAAAAATAAAAGATGATTCCAATTATTGGACTAAACTTTTTCTTAATCATTAGTAATATGCCAAAACAATTAGCATTACCTAAGTAACACATTCAAAATACAACAACCAAAACAAAAGATATAAGCTTTTAAGCCACACATATTAAAAAAAAAAAGCTAGAGATCATATCTTTCCTCCTAATTGTAAGATTTTAACGAATTTTTTTTTCTTTTTTTAGGAAATTCTGTAAACTTTTAAAAAACCATATACAATTTTGACAAAAAAGTGTATACTTTTTGGGTTATTCGGAATTTAATTTTACCATCATATGGTGCATGCCAAATATAAAAGTTTAAATTTATTTTTGCTCTGTAAATTTTCGTAAATAACTGTTGATTGAAGAGTTATTTTACCTAAATAACAAGGCGAAAACAACAGTTAACCTATAGGTTTGCAGAAGAATCATTGGGTGAGGCGGGAAAAGCCGCTGTCACAAGTGAAGCCCTTGGTACCCAAGCTGTGGCTATCATCATGACAGTGTTCACGGCACGGTCAATGAAAGAGGTGCATGGGAACAAGTTACTGGCAGAAAACGGAATATGGTTGCTGATAGATATCCCAGAAAACACAAAAAAACTGAAGTAGAGGTAACTATTAGTAATAGTTTTCAGGCTCTAGCTAAAGAAAATGAACAATGCCAAACCTCAGCTACTAATCTATCACCTAATGTCACAAGACCACCTCCAATCTTTATTACCGACGAAGAAAACTACGCAGCTCTGGTTTCATACTTACAAACTTATTCAGGACCAAACTCCTTTCTACTAAGAACAAATTCTAAGGGAGTAACTGTTTACCCTCAGACCCCAAACGATTACAGAAAATAATAAGTTGTTTAAGAAATAGTGGAGCTGAATTTCATACATATAAGCTCCCTGAAGATAGAAATCCACGAGTGGTTATTAAAGGTTTTCATCACAACACCCCAATAGAGGAAATTAAGACAGATCTAGAAGCATACGGATACCACATTATAGGCATAACTAACGCCATCTCTCGCTTCAAACGACCATTACCGATGTTTTTCGTTGATGTTAGTAAATCTACTTTTAACGAAAAGATCTTTGAGATCAATAAAATATTTTATACTAAAGTTACATTAGAGGAACTTAGGAAGAAGAAAAACATTCCTCAATGTGTAAGATGACAGAATTACGGTCACACCAGATCATATTGTAATCACTCACCGCGGTGCGTCAGATGTGGACAGGGGCACGAAAGCTCTACCTGCAACAAAACACGAGACACTCCGCCAAAGTGCGAAAACTGTCAAGGTGAACATCCGGCAAATTATCGTGGATGCCAGGCACTTAGAGATATAAGAGAACAGAAGAAGACGAGAAATAACATTCATCAAAGGATACAACCTCCTCCAATGAACCTTCAAAATTTCCTGTCTCTACCACAACCACCTAGGAGCTATTAATATCAGCAGCAACTTCCCGTGCATCGGCAGAAGGCTGCACACCAACAAAATCTTGTTCAGCAGCAACAGTCAGGACAAAAACAGTCGGAAAGGAACTCACGTCTACAAACTACGCCCTCAGCATCAGTACCGCAAAATATTCAACCGTCGAAAAACGTGAAGGAAGGAAGTACCCAGCCATCTTTGGCCGATAATTTTATCTCTCCACAAATGTTTCAGCTTTTGAATGGTCTTAATACTCTCATTCAGCCCCTTTTTAGCCTCCTCCAGCAGTTCGCACAGATAACTCAAGGCATGTGTCTTCCTAATGGCCACTAACCAGCTTACTGTAGGCTCCTTGTCCATCCTTCTCTGGAATGCAAACGGACTAATGCAACATAGGACAGAATGGGACATATATTTACACGAAAACGCATAGACATTGCATTGATAACAGAAACACACTTTACACCACGATCTAAATTTCATATTCCTGGTTACATTACGCTCAGAACGGACCACCCGGACAACACCGCTCATGGCGTAACAGCTATACTAATAAAGACATCACTATCACATAATCCCTTGTACTTACCCACGACACCTGACATTCAAACCACAGGCTTATCACTACATACCAAACTCACACAATAACTATTGCTTCGGTATACTGTCCTCCGAGGTACGTATTGACATCTTCGATGTTTTGCGATTATTTTCAAAGACTTGGGCGATGCTTCATAGCGAGAGGTGACTTTTACGCAAAGCACCAAATTTGGGGGTCAGGGCTATGTACTCCAAGAGGAAGAAATCTGAGGGCTGCCATCCATGAA